GGGACCAGACCTGTTAGTAAAGACGGCGTTGGGGTGATTACACTGAACTATGGTCAGTGAGACTGACAGCTCTCGGCACTTGGCGAGAACGATAAGAAGCACAACATCTCCCAGTTTCACTGAACTCACCTCTCTCTGATTCTGAGAACCGACGTCACTACTCCCCGCCTTTATGTCTTTATGCCTGCATGACAATGTTATCTAGTTCAGGGGGAATACTCGAGTGCTCTGCAGACTGACTGGTGTTTAATGCACGATCAGTTTAGTGTGACCTAGATGGTTCGTTGGCTACGAACGCGAGGGGAGAAAAATGCTCAGGTGTTTTTCTTTAGAGGAATTATAAAAAGCCGTACAACAGAATTTAGTTCAGAAAGAGACACTGATTACAAATCACATTTGGCAAAGCTGATATTGCTCAACACAGACTCTGAGCACGTGAACGGAGAACAGCAGCAAAGATAACAGAGCAGGTATCAGACACTCATCATGATAAACCAAGCGGGACATTTATCAAAGATTTCAGACTTGCTGCTCATTTTTGTGCGTGTCCAAAGTGCCAATCTGATTCATTTTACCTCAAAAAAACCCACAAAGGAGGGAAGAAACAAATCCTTGATAAATTCAACAATGCAATCTGCTCGGCTGATCAAAGCCAGCCGCCAGAATTGCTTGTCGCTGGGCCTGTGCATTCAGCGATTGGCTAGCCAGGCAGCCAGTAGCCATGGCAACCTGGAGATGGAGGCAAGCAGAGTGGGGGTGGTGGGTGGCGTCGAATAGGCTGAGAGAGGGGAGAGGATGCTCACGCCCACTCTGAAGCAATGTGGCATAGCGTGATACAGGAGGAGCAATGGCGTGGCATGATCGCAGCGCAACATCTTATTCTAATGTAACAGTGTGGCCAGGAGGTAGAGACAGAGCACTGAGGAAGAGGATGAGAAAGAGGCTTGGGGAGGAAGGAGAGACAGATGAGAACCGATGTGAGAATCAATTTTGCAGCCTCTGTGTTCGTTTCTCCCCGAAAATAAGAAAGAAAAGGAGAAGTAGTGCTAAATGATTTTTACTCTTTTGCCTCAGCCAGTTTGTTGTTCATCTCTTTACTTTTCTCCTTGTCCCCCACCGAAGGCCGGTTCTCGGGCTGGTTCTCTGAGGTCGCCTTCTTGGAGCCCCTCAGCACAGTGCTCTGCTTATCTTTGGGTTTCTTCGCTGGCTTGCTCTGGCCTGCTGCTGTGGCTCCAGACTTTTTGGATTTAGAGCGAGGGAGACTATACCTGTCAACCTAAGGATGGTGGATAGTGGAAAAGAGAATCCTGAGCTGACATGCCTCAGTGGTGTGCAATGAGATGATCATGGTAAGGATTGCACATCAACATCACAGGTCTCATTTCTATCACGAGATTTATTTGAAGCAAAGTTTGGCAGGTGTGCTCTCACCTGTTTGCCGGGGTCTATGTAAGGCTCACTGTACAAACTGCGTATCCTCCTCCTCTCCACGGCCTTGTTGTCAGCAGGCTGCAGCGGGAACTGGGCCTTGAAGGTCGCACTGTAGCTGGTCTCCAAGCTCGTCTTTTCATCCGGTGGCAGGTACTGGGACTTGGCCCGTATCATCTTTACTGGCTTCACGTCTCTGTACGCTTTGAATTCAGTTCTGTGGAGAAAAACAGGAAATAAGCTGCAAAATCTACAGTGTAAGACGGCCCTGTTCAGTACTGGAAGTTGGATGATAAATATTGACCTGTGCATCTAAGCCGTGGAGTTCAAATGTGCTTTTAGAGGACAAGGTCAAAGCCCACATGCGGAGTATGAGCACACTGTTAACCAAATGAATCAAAGCACTCGACCACCTCCAACTTATTATCAGTAAACAGCAGAGAGAGCACCTGCTGGACGTCCAAACTGTTGTTGG